AAATGTCTGAAGCTTCTCAGTCTGAGAAACTCCACCCTCATCCAACCTTGCTGCAGCTCTGAGCCTGGTCCTAGGCCAGTGGTGGGCAAAGTGCAGCCCATCAGGTTTCTAGTGTGGCTTGGGCGACACCTTGTTGCCCATAGGCAGGGTTGCTAGATTCTCCTGGTTTCCAGCTGCATCGGGGTTTTTTCCTACTAAAGAAATGTCTGAAGCTTCTCAGTCTGAGAAACTCCACCCTCATCCAACCTTGCTGCAGCTCTGAGCCTGGTCCTAGGCCAGTGGTGGGCAAAGTGCAGCCCATCAGGTTTCTAGTGTGGCTTGGGCGACACCTTGTTGCCCATAGGCAGGGTTGCTAGATTCTCCTGGTTTCCAGCTGCATCGGGGTTTTTTCCTACTAAAGTGACACACAAAGCCAAGGCACAGGAAGGGAGGTGCAGGCTGATCACACTCAACACTGACTGTGAGTACAGTGTGCTCCCTCTGCAGCCAATCACAGAGCTCCTATGGTTCCATCCACACCTCCTGCACATTCTAGGGACGCAAGTGCAGTGAGCAAAGCGCCCCTGTCTCGGGAGCGTGTCTTGGTTATGACAATCTGGCAGCCCACGTGAGAGGAAGGTGGCCACTCCCGTGGCCCACTCACTAGCCTAGGTTGCCCACTGCTGGCTTAGGCTCCGACCATGGGAAGCATTGAGGGCTAGAGCTGGGGCAATGTCTGGATGGAGTAGGTAGGCTCAGCTAGTGGAGCAGAATTCAGCCGCATCCCTCTTGAGCAATGTTCCCTTCCACACCCTTGAGTGGATCGTGGTGTTAATTTGGGGGGGATTTTTTTAAACAAGTTGCAAGCTACAGCTACTTGGGGCCCCACTGTTTTCTCCCCAACACTTGGCTGCATCTTTTAATTAGCTTTGCCCACAGTAAGGCCCCTGGGCTGTTTACTTTGGGCTAAACTCACCCCTCTGCAGAAAGCAAACATGAAGCCAACTTTATGGGCCCAGGAAAAGCGGCATAATGTGGAGTATCTGATGGGGAATGACGAGTCCTGGGATCTATCCTGAGGTCTGCCACGTTTGCCTGGGAAAGTAACTTCCCATCCTGTTTTCCTCTCCTGCCTTCTCTATTTAGACTGCAAGCTTTCTGGGGTTGGGATATCCCTTGCTTGTATCTTCACATTACCCTAGCACATGCCTCGGGTGGTGCTTCTAGGTATTACTGTAATGTGCCTAGGTCTGTGCGCCACTATGTACATCTCACAAGGTTCCCCCTCCCCCTTCAATCTACTGTGAAATTAGACTGTGGAACTCTCTGCCACAGGATCATACAGAGGGCAAGAATTTAAGGAAGCAGGACTAGACACTTATGTAGGTTCTGGTACTGAGCCCATCACTCTGGTGACTGAGCACTAGTTTAAGTGGTCTAATAGGTTGCATGCAAGAGCATTTGGGGGAGCCCTTTTAAAAGGCAGAGCCTTGGCATTAAGGCCTCAAGCAATCTAACAGTGAGGGAGTTTCAAGGGGGAAGGAGGCATGGCTGCCTATTTGGGAGGGAGAAGTGGGGTTCTTGCAGCTTCTACTGAAGCAAGTGGTGATGGATTTTTGAACACGTTGGCCTGGGGCAGAAGGCTAAAGAGGATTCAGGGGTTGCTGAGCTGTCTAGTTTTTCCCTCTGTTGCTCACATGATGGCAGCAGAGGATAAGGAATGCAACTTTCATTTCCTAACCGAAAATGCTCTGCTGCCAGTAACACTGGTGTAAATCTGGAGCGAGTCAATCTGGATTTACACCCCCGTGACTGACTACAGACATGAATTCGGAGTGTCTGTTCTTGGAGATACCAGCAGTGTCCAGGTCTGATTCTGTAAATCCAGCCACCGGTGGTAGGAGGCCCACAAACACCCGATTCTCCCCCTCCTACCACAGTGTAAGTGGAGTTATTTCTGATCTGCACCAACAGCAGGAGAAGCTGTCCTGGTGTTTTTTAAAAGTGAAACTAGCCAGTTCATGTAGTGCTGTGCCCAGGGTTAAGGCTTGGGTCATGCCAAGAACAGCGGGACGGAGGATGGTACCATGCTCTGCCTGCCCTGGGCTGGCCCAGGGGGTGTGAACTAAAAGCTACCCAACTTTTGTGTTCACATGGTCCTGTCTGACACAGAGCTACATCAATGCAAACTAGGCACCTTTTCATGCTGGCAGAGTCTGCACAGAGTAGCAGCCAATGAGAGCACACACCAGTTCACATGCCCTGAGTCGGGGCTGTGGCACTGTGTAGACAAATCCAAAATAGTTGTATCTCCTCCTCTAATCCACTCATGTTTATACAAATTATGGAAATAGAAGGAAATTTGCTAACTCAGAGCTAAGGGGGACGCAGCGTAGCCTAGTGCTTTGGACAGGGAGTCAGGAGACCTGTATTCTAGTCCTGCTTCTGGACTGTTGGGTGACCTCGGGCAAGTCACTTGCTTGCTCTGTGCCTCAGCTTCCCTGCCTGTAAAATGGGAGTAATGATACTGCTCTCCTTTGGGAGTGGCAGAAGAAAACTATGAGCTATAATGAGGGAGGCCCATGGGAGCTTGGCCAGTAACAGCAGTGGCACCCATAAGCGCAGGAAGTATGGGTGTATGGGGTGCTGCACTACCCTCAGTTTTTGCACCCTGTGTCTTGGCTGCTCTGTTGCAGGTCCCAGAGTCCTGACTGCCCACCCTGCATGCTGGGCTCCCAGACACTGACCCCACTGCCAGCTGGCCCCATGCCCAGGAACTCCATTGTCCACCCTGGGTCTTACTCAGCTGCTAGCCTCAGGGGCTTTGCTGCCAGCCCCAGCTCTAAGGAGTGGTTTGGGGCGCAGCCACAGCTGGGGCGGGGTGCAGCTCACATCAAGAATTGTTCTAGCACCACTGGTAGGGCCAGGATTTCACTTGCTTCCTGAGCCATGTAAAAAGGGCTTCCTGAGCCATGTAAAAAGAGTACAATGGGGAATTAGCCTCCTGGACTTCGCATACCCCCCCACCCCGCATTAGCATGAAATAGTTCACGAGCGCACAGCGTCGGTGCTGGGTAGCGCTAAGCCCTTAATGGCTCTGATTTCTCCTCCTGTGACTTGGCCTCTCCCACCCCCTGCTGAGTTTTCACCTGCCTACGTAGGCGGTGGCATTAGCTCACACAGCTCCCTGCCCAGCCGGAAAGAGGTGCGGTCCCAGGCATAGACGAAAGCCCTGTTGGCTTAGTCGCGCTGCCTCCCGTACCTAAGATCTGTCCAAGGGCTGATCATTCTCCTGCAGTGGCAGCTCTGGGGATCCAGCGGCGGGATCGTAGCGGCTCATGGGTGGCAGGTGTAAGAGGCAAGGGAAGGCAATACCTTCCCAAACTGCCTGGCTGGTCCCACCCACACTCTGCCCCCAAACCCCCTCCCCCTCAGTGTGGCTCCCTCCAGTCTCCTGGGGTGCCTGGGCTTCAGCATCACCCGGGCTCCAAGGCCAGAGGAGCCGCTCGCTGCCTGCCCCCTGGGTTTGGAGGGGGGGGGACCACCGACCCTCCCTGTGCTCTGGGGAAAGCTAGGGTGGGGGTGGCCTGCCCCTACAGTGTGGGGTCTTGGGTTCCATGGGGGCCTTGGGCAGCAGGGGCGGGGCCTCAGGCAGCAGGGGTGGAGCTAGGGACTTGCCTCATGCAACCCTGGGTTCGCTCACTGCCCTGTAGTGGCTGTAAGCCGGGGGTGGGGAACCTTTTTTGGGTCGGGGGCCACAGACCCACAGAAAAATCAGTCGGGGGCCGCCCCCAAGTGAGAACGAAAAAAACAAAACAAACAAACAAAAGCCCAACAAACCCCCCCAACTGAGCCATTCCCCTCACACCAGAGTCTAGGCAGGCCCAGGCTAGTCGATTTTGTGTGCTCCAGCCCCTTGCAGGAACAATGTCGATTCCCTAATGCTAGGAGGGCTCTGACGCCGTCGGTTCTCCACCCCTGCTCTAAGGCTAGGCAATGAGAACCCCATTTGCGGAATGAAATATTGGGGGCCTCCCCCGTTCCCCCCACCAGCCTGAGCCACTTTAAAACCTTTTCCCTCAGCTCCTCTTTAGAGGCCTTTCCAGTGTCTCTTCTACCAGTCCCCAGAGCAGATGCTGATGCAGTGACAGGACCTGCTTGTGAGAGGAGGGCCTGGCTCAGGGGTTGCCCACCGGGCTGGAGTCAGGAGAGCTGGGTTTTGAACCATGGAAATCAAACCCCTCCCCAGCCTTTGGGCCGCTGTTTGCATTGGTAAGCTGTCTCTTCAGGTAGGGTCTGTCTCTCACTGGGTCTATGTACAGCACGGAGTCCAGAGGTCACCTCCGTGGACCGCTGAGGTGCGCGAGTCATTCGCACACGGATGACTGAGAATGCCTCTCTCATGCTCCGTGGGTTCACCTTAGTCACAGCAGGCACACGGTCTGCAGGGGCAGAGCAAGGGGCAATTGGGGCCCAAGTACATTGTATTCCCTGGGGCTCCCCCCATGTCACCAGGGCCATCCCTAGGGGGGTGCAGGGCCTGGGGCAACCCCTTTCCCTCCCCCGCAAACTACCGCACTCACCATGGTAGTGGGAACCAAAGGGGCCTGGAAGCTTGCTCTGCACCACCCAATCTCTCCCCCCTCCCCGCCCCCCAGCTTCTGACAGGGGCCTGGGACTGCCCTCCCTCCTACACCCCGCATGGTTCCAATCTTCATCCTACCACAGATGGGATGGCTCTGCCTGTCACTTTCTTTACACAGATATTCTGGGGCTCCTTGAACTTGGAGCCCTGGTACAACTGGACCCTCCTCTGCATCCCCTCTTGTCAACCCCAGCCAGACTCCTGTTAGTTCATCCCTTCCCCTCTCAAATAGTCAGTCCCCTTGGCACTCTGCTCCTCCAAGGAGTCCTTCAGGAAATAAACGGTGTCAGCCCCAGGCCAGAGTGTGTGTTACAGGCCTCTCTCTTGGTCCCAGCCACAGAAGTCAGGCTGCAGGGCTGAGCTGAAGCGATAAGGGGGCTCAGACTTTTCACGCTGCAGATCCCTGATTCACTCCCTGGTGTGTCACCAGACAGGCATGGACTGTTTCCAGGGGAGCCCGCTGTAGGCATAGACACACCTGAGGCAAAGCGTGTTTTTTGAGGCACTTGACCCAGATCCGCAGAGTTGGTTCCGCAGGCAAATTGCTCCTCTCTCCATCCTCAGCTCTTTCTCCTTGTCCCCTCTGCCTCCCACACCCTGCTGTCTGGCTTCCTGCTGGCCCTCCCTCCTCCAGAGACTTGCCAGCCCTTCAGAATTCCTCTGGCATCCCCAGGAATGAAAGATTCATCTTTCCTATGAGTTCATATCCTGTGATGAAACCCCCCACTCAAACTGGTCCTTCTACACCAGGGGTGGGGAACCTCAGGCCTGGGGGCCGGTTGTGGCCCCCGGCTTGCCTGGATCCAGCCTTCTGAGGTTCGCCTCACTGGGCACACATAATCTACTAGGCTGGACCCCTTAGGCTCTGGTTCACAAGGGGAATGTGGAGAGTGTCTTTCTCTTCAGCTGGGAGCCACGTCACTAAGGAGTTTTGTTTGCTTGTTTGTTTCTTCTCACTTTATATGCAGCCCCCGTCCGTTTTTCCTGTGGGTCAGTGGCCCCCGACCCAAAAAGGTTCCTCACTCCTGCTCTACACCTAGGGTGAAGTTAAGCCGAGGCCAGTACGGGTGAGCCCAGCAACCATGTGACGCTGGTGGGGGTGGTTTGCACTACCTGACAAACCTGTACAGCGACACCCGGGTCACACCTCACTGAGTCAGCCAGCCCTGCAGAGCTGCACCTTCAACCCGCCTAGAAAGGATCTATTCCCCGCCCAGTCCCTCTGACAACAGGACACAGAAGCTGGGTTTTTGGGAGCTGGTGCAGTAAAGGGAACTTGGCTCTGTGGGTCTCCTCCCCTCTGGCAACTCTCCTCCCAATCGCTTTCAGCTTCGCTGGCTTAGGAGGAAATTTTGTCCTCTCTCTTCCTGGTTTATCAGAGCCTGGCAAAAAAGAAAACTCCCCCACACCCTGGCTGGTAAGGAAGCAAGCAAAGATTGAGAGGAGGATCCCAGGCCGGAGGGGGGCCAGGTGTGGCTGGGAAAGATGGGGACAGCTGAGGAGAATTATAACTTTGTCTTTAAGGGTAAGTTTTGCCGGCACCCTCATTCGGTGACTAGGTTTCAATGTGCTAGTTCTGCCTTTTGGAAGGGTGGAACTGGGGGCATGGGGAGAGGTGGGCAAAGGATGGATGGATGGATGTGGGGAGACCAGCTGCAGCAGTGATGGGCTGAGACAGTGGCTGTTCACCTTTCTGGACAACTGTATCCCTTTCAGGAGTCCGATTTGTCTTGCAAGCCCCACGTTTCCCCTCACTTAAAAATGACTTGCTTACAAAACCAGACGTCGAAACACAAAAATCTCACCGTGCACGGCTACTCCAAAAACTGCTGACTTTCCCATTTTTACCACCGAAGTATAAAATAAATCCACCAGGGTATGAATATCGTATTTACATTTCAGTGTGGCGCACGGTACAAACAAGTCATTGTCTGTATGAAATGTTAGTGTGTATGGACTTTGCTAGTGATTTTTATGTAGCCTGTTGTAAAACGGAGCAAATATCTCGATGAGCTGATGTACCCTCTGGAAGACCCACAGGTGTACACATGTTTTCCCCCCACCCCTGGCTGAGAACCACTGGGCTAGGGCATGTACCACAAGAGGTGGAGGGGAAGCAGCCATCCAGAACAGCAACTGGGGGGAAGGGTCTTTCTCCTGTCGTTATGAGGAGTCCTTGGAGGTGGCTCTTTGACCTGTGGCCAAATCCCACTTCACCAGGGTATAAGCCCTAAAGAAGTCAGTGGAGCTACACCAGGAATTTGGCTCAGATGAGCCCCTCAGCTACACCCTCCTCTCCCAAATTGTCCAAGATTGTGACCCACTGAGTATCCCATCAGTAAATCAACAGCCCAGCTCGGTGCCTGGACTGACGGGTGCATTGTGGGGTGCAGTCAGGGGGTCTGACACCTCCCTCTTGAGCAGCAGTTCCCAAACTTTTCAGCATCACACCCACTTTTTGATTTTTCAAAAACCCTCACATTCCCTTCCCCCCAAATAGCAAAATTTGTTGAGGAAAAAAAAAAAAGGAACTGACTGGGGCAGCAAAACTTGATGGGGAGAGGGGGAGGATTGGGTCGCCTCGCGCCCTTCCCCCCACCCCCCCGGAATTTCTTCACACACCCCAGTTTGGGAAGCCATGCTCTTGAGCATTAGGTACTCGTCGCTGCTGGCCTAGCTGGACAATCAGAAGTAGCCAGTGTTACAGCAGCGTCACTGCTGCGGGGGGTTGGTGGAATGGTGCTAAGCTCAGTGTGGAGGTTTGGGGTTTCTGTCAATCCAGATCCCCAGGCATTTGAATCCCGATGGATGTCTGGACTGTCCCACCTTGGGAGCTGGTTCTCCATCACCCCACACTGTGAGTGCGCATTTACATCTATGCAAAGTGCTACCGGATCAGAAGGGGTGCAAAGACCAGCACGAAGTGGAGAGCAGCCTTAAAGGGTGGAAATAGCCATGTAAGGATCCTGCTTGCACAAGGGGCTGTCCCAACTGGTTTGGAGCTGAGGAAAGGGCCATAAACATAGAGGGAGGATTGGGGTGTGGCCGGAATGCAACAAGTACTGTGGCTAATCTGAAACAAAATACAGGACTATGTAGCACTTTAAAGACTAACAAGATGGTTTATTAGGTGATGAGCTTTCATGGGCCAGACCCACTTCCTCAGATCAAATAATGGAAGAAAATAGTCACAACCATATATACCAAAGGATACAATTAAAATAATCTGTGTTTCTCAGGCCCCATAAGGAGCAGAGACTGTTTCTTGCTCTGGGTTGTCATGGCCCCCTGTCATGCTGGGGCCTCAGTCTTGGTATGAGCCTCCAAGTACTACTGTAATGTAAAAAGTAATAATGCCAACATGGCGTAATGCCTGCTGACAGGATCAGGCCCTAACTGGATTGCATCCCTTTAGAGCGCAGTTTCTTCTAACCTGAGTCAAACTGCTTTCAGTAACTGGAATTGCAACAAAAGCCAGATTTAAAAAACAAAACAAAAAAACCCACCAAATTTATTTTCTCGAACAAGGAAAACGTTTTGGTTTTTCTGGAAAAAAACATTTAAACCAAAATTTTATTTGTAGGGGAAAATGTTTATTACTTTCTAGCCAGGTCTGTATGCCCTTATTTCACTGGGAGAAGGACAGTTGCTCTGGCAATTAGGCCCCAAACTTTTACTAAAATGATTAGGGGTTTGGAACGGGTCCCATATGAGGAGAGGTTAAAGCGACTGGGACTTTTCAGTTTAGAAAAAAGGAGACTGAGGGGGGATATGATAGAGGTCTATAAAATCATGAGTGGTGTGGAGAGGGCCGATAAAGAAAAGTTATTTATTAGTTCCCTAAATAGAAGAACTAGAGGACACCAAATGAAATTAATGGGTAGCAGGTTTAAAACTAATAAAAGAAAGTTCTTCTTCACACAGCGTGTAGTCAACCTGTGGAACTCCGTGCCAGAGGAGGCTGTGAAGGCTAGGACTATAATAGAGTTTAAAGAGAAGCTAGATGATTTCATGGAGGTTAGGTCCATAAAAGGCTATTAGCCAGGGGATAAAATGGTGTCCTTGGCCTCTGTTTGTCAGAGGCTGGAGAGGGATGGCAGGAGACAAATTGCTTGATCATTGTCTTCGGTCCACCCTCTCTGGAGCACCTGGTGCTGGCCACTGTCAGTAGACAGGATACTGGGCTAGATGGACCTTTGGTCTGACCCAGTACGGCCATTCTTACGTTCTTATGTTCTTAGAGCTAATTGGACACGGTTGGATGGACTGAGGGGGCCTTCCATGGGAAACTTAGACACCCACAACACAATGCTCAAAACTTGTAGCTGAACATTTTAATTTTTCATCAACACACTGAAAAGTGTTGTCTGAAAATGGAAACCGTTTTAGATTTTGTCCAAAGAGTCTCTCTTTTTTTTTTCACTTTTCCAACAAGAAAAAAAAATTGTTGAAAAAATTAAACATTTTGGTTTACAGTTTGTGAACATTTGGATGTAATAAAAAATCCCAACTTTCTGAAGTAGGTTGTTTGGGTGGAATTTTTTTGACCCTCTTTAGTTAAATCCAAGACTTGAAGTTCCACCCAGCAGCTTTTGGGGAGCTTTTTGGTCACGGAACCAAAACTACAACATCCCTTCATAAATAGATTGTATATTCTGGATTCGCTTCACATTCAAATCCCAACTGATGTGTCTCTTACATTCTTATTTCATTTTTTGTTGTCTCGTTCCAGAGTTAGGAAGGTTTGCCCACTCCTGGTGCTGCTCCATGGTCCAGGAGTTATGTAGGGCTCAGGAATTAAGTACATAAGAACATAAGAACGGCCGTACTGGGTCAGCCCAAAGGTCCATCTAGCCCAGTATCCTGTCTGCCGACAGTGGCCAGCACCAGGTGCCCCAGAGAGGGTGGACTGAAGACAATGATCAAACGATTTGTCTCCTGCCATCCCTCTCCAGCCTCTGACAAACAGAGGCCAAGGACACCATTTTATCCCCTGGCTAATAGCCTTTTATGGACCTAATCTCCATGAAATTATCTAGCTTCTCTTTAAATTCTATTATAGTCCTAGCCTTCACAGTCTCCTCTGGCAAGGAGTTCCACAGGTTGACTACACGCTGTGTGAAGAAGAACTTTCTTTTATTAGTTTTAAACCTGCTACCCATTAATTTCATTTGGTGAAATAAACTGAAATGTACTGCTAGTGGTGGGGGAAACGTGTGCTGATGTGGACACAGTAAAAGCACAGGAGGGGCAAAGAAACACAAACTGGCTCAGCATAGCAGAGTGGAATACAAAACATAAACATCATCCAAGCAGCCGCCCTAAGGAAAGTACATTGGGCATTTAAAAGTCATTCTGCTTCAGTAATCTTGGGAGTTGTCATTAGCAGTGTAGGTAAAGGAATTTAGGGTTTTGAAATCTTATAATGACCCACTCTCTGTGTGTGTCATCATTGGGATTACAGTACATGAGGTACTGTACATAAGACACAGCCCTGGCCCTGCAGAGCTTATAGTCAAGATAGTTAAAGGGGAAACAAGAGGGAGGTGTCTTGAACAAGGTCACCAGCAGAATGGGACCAAGATCCCAGCCCTTCTGATTTCCAGGTTTGGGTGGCTAATCTCTGGCTAACACTGCCTCCCTGGTATGTGTGTCTGCCTGCAATCAGAACAGCTCAGGTGTATGTCACAGCCTCTCTTGCCAGGTGCTAATGAAAAGTTGCCTTTGGCTTGATTGCACATCTGGATCAGCAAGAACCTGGATTCTGTCCCCTCCTGTTCACTAGGAAGTTCCACATTTTAGGCAGCCCCAGATTTGCTACACGAATTTTAAACCAGCAACGTGCTTTTCCAGAATAAAGCCAGGAAGAGTCTCCCAGCAATGGCTGCTTGGCCCTTTCCTGTCTCACTCACAGAGCTTGGCTTGCACACCCCACCGCCAGCCACACCAGCGAGCGATGCAGCCTGACGCTCTCAGAGCACAGATGGGTTGTGCCAGAATCCCTCAGCCAGGTTTCTAGCAGCCACGGCAGGGTGAGCTGTCCTCCTTCCCAAGGAGCAAAACATTAGAGCTGCTTTGCAAACAGAACTAACACAGATTAGCTCAGCTGCAGGGTGCCTTGAAACAGGGTGGAGACTGGCAGCCTATTGCCACACTAGTTATGACGGGCCTGGGTGGAATATCTGCTGCATAAGCCATCTGGAGAGAAGAAACATACACACACACCTATCTTTTCCATCCATGCGCGGAATAAAATTTTGATGTGCACTGAGGCATGTGTGAATGTGCACCAGCAGGAGAAACACGCAACCGGGGGGGGCGCTCTGCAAATCAACTGGGTGGCACTGGAATCTCTCCTGAGCGGCCACACAAGTGCACATTAACCCACACACCTCCTGGGTGTGGTGCACTGTCCAGTCTAGTGGCACAGAGATCACTTACAGAGAGAAGAATGAGTCTGCTCTCTAGCCTTAGCTGAGAGGCAGGTGGCTTTGAGCTCATGTGGTAGAAGTTCACGCACTAAGG